AAAAGAGTGAGGAAAAAACAACAACACAGGATGAGAGAGAGAGAGAGAGGAACCCCCAGTATAGAAGAAACATGTGCTGGAAAAGGGTTATTGATGGAAAAGTCAGATCAGGCAGGCTTTCCGTTGCTTTTCTCACCATGACAAAGCCCATTTTCCCCACAGCTTCCTTGTGGTCGTTGTCCACCTGGCACACCAAGGCGTTGCAAAGGTGGACTGCGATCCTCTGGATGGACTCGTCCTGCCGTGTCGGGTTCAGGATATTCAGAAGCAGCTCGTTGACCCGACGGTACTGGAATTCCAGTTCCTCTGGGATGCTGAAGTTGCACAGAGTCAGGCAACAGTTCCGTTGCACCTGGGGGGGGGCGGGGAGTTTGACCGAGACAAAGAGAATGTTATTTTCAGCTGCGGCACGGGAGAATACCATTCCCAGTCTGTTTGTGTGTGTTTTTTTACTACTACGCTTGAATCGCGGAGTGTACATTCAACAGAAAAGCCCCCTACACAATGCCCTGAGACCAACAGCAGGAAGGGGCGTACAAATCAATAAAGTGAAACAAAATAAAGACAGTTATGAGCGAAGGCGTCTTGTAAAGACAGTGATGAGCGAAGGCGTCTTGTAAAGACAGTGACGAGCGAAGGCGTCTTGTAAAGAGTGACGAGTGAAGGCGTCTTGTAAAGACAATGACGAGCGAAGGCGTCTTGTAAAGACAATGACGAGGGAAGTGAAGGAACGTGACCGAAATTAAAAAGGAGGAAAGGGCATGGGATTTAGAAGATGCCTCGAACTGCAAGCAGGACTCCGCAGATGTCGGAATCGAAGCCCATGAACGAGGCGCGACACGGGCGTAATACTCACCGTGACCTCCTGGTACGACTCCATGCCATTCAGGACCACCTGGATGACCTGTCTTCGCAACTTGATGCTTTGCTCCATACGGTACTCTGAGTTGGTGAGGTAGAAGAGGGCGGCGCTCCCGGTCACCTGGATGTTCTTATCGTATTTGTGGCACTTCAGCGCGGTGATCACGAGCTGCGAAAACGGGGCACATCAAGTCTGTCGTTTATTATACGATGTTGTTATTTTTATAGTAAAATAAATAGAAAGAAACCCAACCCCCTTTGGTCAGATCCTATGGGGGCCTCATAATTTCATGTCGGAAAAGTCGATCGGGAGCTCCTGCCTATGAACATTAACCAGATAGAGCCTCCATGTACACAAGCACTCTGCCCTTAAATATGGAGAAACCCGGGGGAAGGTAATCTTCTCGCTGGGAAGCTGCTGCTTTCCTCTGGGAGGGGCCGCCTCACCTTGAGGGCTCTCAGAAGCTGCTCGCAGCGCTCGATCCGGGCGATGTCGAAAAGGAGGTTGATCGCTCGAGACGTAATTTCTGGCCGGTGTTCTGTGTAGGCCTCAATCGCGTTGAGGACCTGCTCTTCGTTCTTGTCGCCGGTCACCTGAGACCAAGCATGGAGAGATTCAGAAGCAGATGCATAAACATCTGTGGTTCGTTAAAACAATGAACACATTTTAATAGTACAAAAGGACCACAGAATCTGCAGGGGATTGGTTCTAAAGCTTTCCCATGGATATTGAAAAATGCGGAAGTCGCCAATGCTATACTGTACCTTGTAGGCTGGGATATGGGAGAAAAGGCAGAGAGAGGTTTCAAAGAGGCCCAGGAACTGGAGCGGCCGCTTCAGATTCCTGAACGGGGTGATGCTGCTCTCTTCCGGATTGATGCTGGAGGAGCCGAGAGAGAAAACGAACTTGGTCTCGGAGCTCAGGGTGAGACTTTTGAAAACTAATGGGTTAGGATTACATTTCTAAGGACCACAGATTAGTCCAAGGCGTTCAGTTATGACTATACAAGAGGACAGCACATAACAACCACAAGTTACCCGGAATTCTGACAGATGACACTTAAGTTTTGCTCGCCTGGGAAAGGCCTAGCTCGGTGACTGAACCCTCCTCATATCTTCCATCAAGCCAGAGGGCAGGAGGCCAGGGTGCAAGACAGGCCACTCAGCACACAGAAACTTATTCTCCGATACCTCCATGGGACTGTGATGTTCCCCTCTGCCCCAATGACTAGGGGTCCCTTTTCCTGAAACCCTTTCACTCGCCTTAACTGGGCCTGCCGCCCTTACCTCGTCTGCCCCACTTTCTCATCCAGGCAGGAGGCAGTGCAGTTTTCGAGCATCGTGTGGCCCGAGATGTCCAACGAGGTGAGGCTCCCCAGGTTCTCCACGAAGAGGTTGAGCACCCTGCGGGTCAGTTTGAACTTGTAGTAGCTGGACAGGCGGTCCCGGGAGATATCTAAGTGCCTACGAAGGACCACAGAGGGAAAAACCAGTCACCCTTCCGAGCACATGCGAATAATGAAAGTAAGCGTCTGGATTAACACCTTTGCATACAACGAAGGTAATTTATTTGCTATTGTCCAGCTTTCAGTATCCATGGAGGGTGGCTTGGAACCAATACCCCATGGATGCAGGGTTCTTACTGTACAGAGATTTGCATTTCTCCCTTTATCAAAACAAAATGGAATTATAAGCTGTCAACCCCAGCTAGCCCCTGGACTTTCTAAGGTCCCCTTTGCCACCACTGCCCCAGCCGTTCAAAATACATTTTTTCTTCCAAAATAGTTCCTTTTCAAAAAAAGGAAATCTTGCTCTCATGACCTCTTGTGGCCCCTTTAAAAAACAATGACAATATGGGAGGAGGCGAATGCAAGGAGGCCAGGCGGACTGTTCCCCAAACTTGTTCAACAGCCTCTAAAAGGGATAGGAAGCTCTTTGGGGGGGCACACAAGGGGATGAAAATGCTTTGGAGCCAGAGAGGGCTGGAGGACACAGAAGGCGACATTTCAGGGTCCCTGGGGGACCCCAGGAAGCCCCAAATTCATTCAATATCTGATGGGCGTTGGGCTGATCCAACATAACTCTGAGGTTCTTGATTCCGTCATGGAGTTCTAGGGTGGGCGAAGAAGACCCCACCGGAAGGGGCACACCTGTTGGACAACGGCCTGCTGACCTGAGCTTACGCAGCTGGGCCACGGCCTGAATGTGCTCCTCACAGAGGTCCATGTTGTAAAGCACTAGCGAAACCAAGCTGTTCTTCCACTGGGTCAGGAAGAGGAGGTCATTGAGCTGGATGGCGGAGAGGTCCAAGGCGGCCAGAGAGGTCAGGGGCCGGAGCAGGCTCTCCACGTCCACCCCTTCGGTCATCCGGCCCAGGTTGAGGAAACGGAGGCGCCGGAAGCCCTCGAAGGTGAAGTCTTTGACCAGGACCTGGCGAGTGGGGTTGAAGTCGTCCTCACAGCCCCCGGGGTTCTCCTCCTCGTAGAAGAGGTTGGTGCAGCCGAAGAGGCTGAGCGAGACCAGGGTCGGGCTGAAGCTCCCTAAAGTCTGGAGGCTCTTCGCGGTCAGCTTCTCGCAGTTGGTCAGGAAAAGTTCCACCAGGTCCTGCGAAACGAGATCCGCGGAATTGGGGAAAAAACAAAAACAAAGCAAAAGGCAGTGGGGTGTAGTGGCTGAGGGGTGGTGGTTCAAACGCACAAAGGGGAGAACAAGCAAGCTTTGGGGCACACGCACATCGAGGGACGCATGCACGCACATCGAGGGGTGCATGCACACACATCGAGGGACGCATGCACGCACATCGAGGGATCCCTTCACGGTGGGGGACGGGGGAGACCCACGTAAGCCTTACCTGCTTCCGAAGGGCTTCCAGGTCCTGATCCTGCACCACGTCCTCCCGCAAACGGATCCGGGCCAGCCGGGTGCTTCGGGGATCCGAGAAGAGGGTGAAAAAATTCTCGTTGTGCTCGAACAGGCTGTCGGCGTTGAGCAGCTCCACGTAGCTATGGGGAAAGGAGAAGTTGTCAAAGGCACTGTCAAGGTGCCGTCAAGGGTGTGTGTGTGTATTATGGCTTTTCACCTTTTGCTAGTGAGCAGGTTTAGGTTTGAGAAAAGAAATGGAAAAACTTTGTTACCCATGGACCTCACAGTTCATTGGAAGGATACGATTTAGCTGGGCAGAAAATGACGGCCTAAGTTTTCTTGCGGTACAGAAGGATAGGATATGGCTTCTGCCGTAAAAACTGGGTTGGGAGTACCCTAAATGAAATGCACACATAAACCACTTACTCATTGACGAGTCTGTCACAGATCTCACTGGGCAGGAAAATGTCCGGGTGAAGACGGAGCGTCTCGTTATCCAGCAGGTAACAGAGGGTCCCCTCCAGATTGTGGAGGCAGTAATCTGTGCATAGCGTCATCAACGATTCCGGGCTGTCGGAGGCCATTTTGAATGGCACTGGAAAAGGGAGAAGGGGGAGCAAGGGAGAGGGGGGGACACACACACGTGAGGCTTCTTTTTGGATCGGACCTCCTCTCGCCTTGCCTTGCTCCAAGGAAGAACTCTTGAGCAGACTTCCGAACAAGATCAGCACCACTGCAGGGAGATGAGAGGGGAAAAGAAGATCAATTTGCTATTTTTCAAATTATTATTAGGGCGAACCTTCGCATGACTTCCCAATGTACGGATGGAAGTCACCCCTGGCTTTGGCAGTCTCCACGCTGATGAACAGTTTGGCGGAGATTTAAAAACAACAACATAATATTCCCGCAGCTGGAGCCAAAAAAGGCAAGGAAAGAGGACAAGCCAAAAGAGCTGACCACGATCTATGGGTGGCCACACTGGCTAGCCCATTGGCCTGGCAGGTGGGCTAGGAAAAAAAAACACAATTATTCCCAGCCGGGGATGAGGGAACACCAAGGGGGGGGGGGAGAGTGAGACAAACCTCTCTTGTAAAAACGAGGGAAGTGCTTAGTCATTCTGGCAGTGCCGAGACCGATCACCAGAAATGCAGAATGTCAGGAGAGGAAAATAACACAAATGGAATATACATGCCCTTAGCATCGGAATACACTATTCTATTGACTCCCGGTCTTTAATGTCTGGATGCAGACATCCTTTCCACTGAAATGAAGGTGTGTTACTTCCGTATTTTGCAATATGGGATCAGGGTCTTGGGTTGGTGGGGTTCATTGGCTTCTGCTTAGGTTAATAAGGTTAAATTTTCTACTTTCCCCTAAGCCCTCGGTCCTGTATTCGATCCGGGAGATGCCACAAAAGAATTAAATTCAAGCTGGACGTTGTATCTCCTGATTTATATTTCTTAACAACAGTACGTGGAGAGATAACTGTCTTGTGATCAGCCTTAATTCCAATTCTGATTGCATTATTATCCAATTCCAATTTTTTGCCTCCTTTCCAATATGAGCCCTGTTAAAATCACTAGATCGTAGGCGACGCCTTGCTTAAATCGGCCCGTAAGAAATCTACCTATTGCCCTCTGAACCTCTGGTAAGTAATCTCAAACATTTACGGTACTTTTCTCTCTCTCTAAAAGTGTCCATGAATGCAGGATTGGTAGGAAAGGCCTGGCCATAAAATTCAGGAAAGAGCAGGGTAAGTCGGAGAAAGAAAAAAAATCAAGCTATACGAACAAATGATCTGAACATTCCTGTGATCTTTATAATCTCAGTTGTTTGAGAACTACCCTGTCAATTTCGCTTTCTGAAAACACATCAAACAAGACTTTGATCGCAATATATCGGGAGCTTTAATCTTTAAATAAAATTTGAAAAAGAAATTCAAAAAACCCATTGGCCTCTTAAGTACTACGTTGAGTATGGTTAAAGAAACAAAAAGCCATTATACTGTGCTGCTTTATTTAACTAAAACTGTCTCAGCGTTTGTCTGGAGTACAGGGATTTTGATAAGAGTAAGTAACAAAAAAATCTTCCAAATAATCGTGATTAACCTGTTTAACTGGAGTTTGTTCGCCTTCCAGGGCCTTCACTAAAACACGAGTTTCAAGAACTCAAGTAATTATTCTTTTTTTCCTCTAATAGATAATTATAAAACTAAGTTGACTGTTTTTCAAAATACAGTAGGAGCCTCGTATTTGCGGGGAATCGGTTCCAAGCCTCACCTCCCAGAAATGCTGAAAAATGTGGATTACGGCAAACGCAATCCCTAGCGTGGTCTCCGGCTCTCTTGATCAAGGGCTCAGTCCTGGTCACTTCATCTTTAGAAATAAATATTTCTACGATTTCCCTTTTGATATTTTCAGACTGCGGATAAGTGGATCAGCGGATACGGATACCAATGATTTAAAATCATGGTTTCCTAGGGCTCAGTCCCGGTCACTTCATCTTTAGAAATAAATAAATGGCGTCTGTTCAAATTTCAGATCTGAGTGTTTCCTTTGATGACGATTTCCCTTTTGATATTTTCAGACTGCGGATAAGTGGATCAGCGGATACGGATACCAATGATTTAAAATCATGGTTTCATTTGATTTAAATCAAATGACACTAAATAAGAAGGGAATAAGAAGAACAGCCGGACCGCTCAGGGGCTCAGGTCTCTGGCTGTGCAGCCAGAGAGTCAATGATCCGTAGGGTCCCGTCCAGCTCTGCGGTTCTAAGATAATGATGATGACGACGACTTCATTGACGTCTGTTCAAATTTCAGATCTGAGTGTTTCCTTTGATGGGATTTCAGCCCCCAAAATCCAGATCCATAAGGGGGGGGGGTGGAGACAACTTCTCCCAAAACATGAACTCCTCCAGAAATTTTAGAAGGGCAAATAAGTAAAAAAAAAGGTTGTATGGGAATAAGAAGAACGGCTGGAGAGCTCAGTGGCTTAGCTCTCTCCGGCTAGAGGTTGGGAGTTCGAATCCGCCCCCCACCCCAAACTGGGCCTCCTTGACAGGGGCTGGGCTGGATGATCTCCCAGGGCCCCCTTCCAACTCGTGCCGTTTATTATTAAATTTATTTTATACATTTTATTGTAAAATTAACGCGGCTAACCCTGCCCCTCTGATCCAAGGGCCCCGGCTCTCCCTCCCTGCTTGGCCTGGGGGTTGCGGGGGGGAAGGAAAAAAAGGAAAAAGGTCCGTCTCGCAGCTGCTTCCGGTTCCGGTGGGAGGGAAGAAGGGCCAAGGAGGTGAGGGGGGGTCCCTAAGTCTCCACCGGGGTCCGCTGCTTCCCCCCTCTTTCGCCGCCCCCTCCCACTCGCCCAGGACCGCAAGCGCCGCTATCAACAAATCGTGGCGTCACTTCCGGCAACAGGTTGGCTTTCCCCCCCTCCTCTCTATGGGGACCCAGGATTCTCGGTGGGTTTTCCTCTGCCCTTCTTGGTGCCCGGGGGGTGGGTGGGGGATCACCAAGGTGGAGGGTGTCCATGAAGAAAAGGCATGCACACACACACAAACACACACACAAACACACACACAGAGAGAGACAAGGGGGCCTCATGGTCCTGAGTCCCCCCCTGGGCACCCTTTGCCCACCTTCAGGGCCCCCAGGTGGGCATTGGAGCGAATGGGGGGGGAATTCAAGGCAAGATCGCCTCCTCCTCCTCCTTGGCCCTTTTCTGGAGAGAGGATGATGGGGCGCTCCCCGAGTCAGGATTCTTGGTGGGTTTTCCTCCGCCTTTCTTGGTGCCCGGGGGGTGGGTGGGGATCCCCAAGGTGGAGGGTGTCCATGAAGAAAGAGCATACACACACACACACACA